AGGCTGTCATTTAGTTAGTTCAAAATTAAACTACTTTCTAATGTAGTGTTTTTAATATCTGTCTACCTTTTGTAGATTCACACAGAAAAGGCTAAAATACAACTAAAAACTATATAGATGTGACTTTGTCAGTTCTGGATTAACTGAATAATACCGACCAAGGTCTACAATTGAGGGCTAACTGATTTACACAATAAATAAGATTCAACAAATGCCACTTGTCCCTAGTTGATTGACATGGCAGCAGGTACCATAGGCATTATGTGTGTATATGAAAGTGGCAGTTAAGATGAAGGACCCTTAGATTATCAAATATTGTGTGATTACTTTTTAATCCAAAAAATAAATAGATGTATTAAAACTTGGTTAAAGGGTGGGAAGGTAATGTTTAACATAATTAACGCTGTCTGTACTGTGCTGGCAGATCTTATTGTCAGTTTTAAACGTGATTTGAACACTATCTGTGCTAACAAAGGGTTAAAGATCTACTGTTACTTGGTTACACCAGAACTTACACAATGCTGAATTGTCTGGCCAGGTACCAAAATAGGCAAAGGTAAAACTGGTATAACAAAAGGTAAAACTGAGCGTACGTGTAGCAGAAGACTGGTGCCTAGGCAGAAGATGTGGTAAGTAAACAGACAGGAGGTTGATCCGGGCAGCAGGCAGAAATGTGGTCAGAAAACAGGCAAGTGGCCAGTCCAGGCAGCAGTCAGACACAGCCTGTATACAGGCAAATGGTCTGTCCAGGCAGCAGGCAGAGATGTAGTCAATAAACAGGCAAGGGTCAGTGCAGGCAGCAGACAGAAGAAGAGGTCAATAATAGGCAGGAGTTGGTCCAGGCAGCAGATACGTTAATAATAAACAGGCAAGGGTCAGTACCCAGAGCAAGCATATAAGATACAGGAAAGGGCAGCTAGCTGGTCACATGTAAAAACCTATCACAAGCCAAGGGTGCAGGGCTTGTGAGGTTTAATCAGGCATCGATGGAATGCAGACCAATGGGAGGCAAACAGGGAGGAGTAAGCAGTGGGCCTTGCCTGACAGCTGGACATGGAAAGACTAGGTAGTGCGCTGTTGATGGGGTGGGCAGCACAGTGGTGTAGTGGTTAGCACTGGGGGGTCCGCGGTTCGAATCCCGGCCAGGTCACTATCTACAGGGAGTAGGAGTGCCTAGGCAGAAGATGTAGTCAGTAAACAGACAAGAGGTTGGTCCCTGTGCCCGTGTGGGTTTTCTTTGGGTACTCCGGTTTCCGCTCACACTCCAAAGACATTCTGGAAGGTGAATTGGCTCCTGTGTAAATTGACCCTGTAAGTATGCATGTGAGCTAGGGAACTTAGATTGTAAGCTCCTGGAGGGCAGGGGCTGATGTGAATGTGTGCTGTGTAAAAGCACTATGTAAATTGTCGGTGCTATATAAATACCAATAATAAATAAATACAGGACACTGCAGCCAATGGGAGCAAGGAAGGGGAATGAGGCTGCATTGCCCAAGCAAGAGGATGCTGAGTGGCATGGCCTCTAGAGCCAGCAGAGGCATATAGGAAGTAACCTGATGTGTTACATTTATGTGTGGGTGTATAGGAGAGGTATCCATTTACCTTTAGGAGTAGGAACTATTTTTTATTCTTTAACTCTGTGTGTTTCTGTATATACCGATTTTAATATGTATCAATAAATGTACAGTTTTAACAAAGTTGTTGTCGCACCCAGTACCTAAAAATCCCCAATGCTTTTCTACTTATATGTATCCTCACTGAAGTCCTTAGCTACACCAAGAACTCTGGTTCCTCTGCTGCTGGTAATTTGTAGCAAATTATGTTGTTATTTATGTTGAAGTGTCTGCAGGGCCGCCGTCAGGGGGGTACGGCCGATAGTCATGCAAGGGGCCCTGGCAGCCTCCGGGGGCCCGCCCGGGACCCTTACATGAGTATCGGCCGACAATGAAGGGCGAGGACCGCAGAAGCTCTTACAACGTCCGCTGCGACGTATAGTAAACTTGGTCCGGTCCCCCCCGCCCCCACTTGGTACGGTCCGGGCCCCCCCCCCCCTGCCCCCTGTTCAGTTGGTACCTTCCTGTGCAGGAAAGGTTTTTTGGGGGGCGGAGCTTGGGGAACGAGCACTGAGAGCAAGGCGGGAGAGGAGCAGAGCAGAACTGAGCTGCTGGTCCTGGACTAAACAAGTGTGAAAGGTAAGCAGATGTCTGGGGGAACAGCAGCAGTGTGGTGTCAGACTCTAGGGTGGGTGGGGGCTCACTGGGGAGATGGGCATTGGCAGAGGACAGCAGCAAGCAACTGGTGCCCAAGGCTGATAGGGGCCCGACGCTGGGGCACAGCATCGGGCCCCTATTCAACCTTGGGCACCAGCTGCTTGGTGGGGGCCCACTGGGAGGAGTGTTTGGAGAGGACAGCAGCCAGTAGCAGCAAGCAGCTGGTGCCCAGGGCTTACAGGGCCCCTATTTAGGCCTTGTTCACACCAAAAGCGTGTGCGTTCTAGAGCGGTAGCTGCTGGAACGCACCGCGATCGCTAAGAAACTTCTCCCCGCGTTTTGGAGCGGGAGGGGGCGTGGTGGTGCATTGAATTCAATGGCACCGCTTCCACACAACCCCGCCCGCAGTGCGATCAAACGCTGCGCTTCATGCCTTACACCGCACCTCCTCCTTGCCTGACACAGCTAAGAGCTTTCTCCCGTCGCTTCCCGCCGCCGGGACGATCAAGTCGTTGCAGATTGACTGCAGCGTGGGGTAACGAAGATCTCGGGGAAGAAAGTAAAGTTGCTTGCAGCTAAGACTGCCTGCACTTTTCCCCCACATGCTGTATTGCTGGGATAGTTATTGGTTGTATTCCTCTATAGCTGATGGTATATTCCGCTGTATATGATCAATCAGCTGTGGAGGAATACAAATCCCAGCAATCATTATACAGTGTATGTATAATGTATCGCCAGGATGTTTTGTATTTCTCTTTAGCTGGTGGTATATTCTGCATTGTGCTGTATAATCATTATACAGTGCAATCATTTACCACCAGCTATAGAGGAATACAATAAATCCCAGCAAATGCATTATATTATGATGTATTTTTGCTGGATTTGTTGTATTCCTCTATAGCTGGTGGTAAATTATTGCACTGTATAATGATTATACAGCGCAATGCAAAATATACCACCAGCTATAGAGGAATGCAACAAATCCAGCAAAAATACATCATAATATAATGCATTTGCTGGGATTTGGTGTATTCCTCTATAGTTGGTGGTATGTTATTTGTGTATCACTCGTGTTGTGTTTTGTAAAGTAGTCACTGCTCCAAGCTCACTCCCGTGATGGACTACAATCTCAATACAAATTAGTATTCCATCACTGGAGCCCCTTTTTAAAAAATTATTTTTATCCAATTAATTGAACTTAAAGGAGAACTATTGGGTTAGGGCTTTTCCCTATAGTTCTCCTTAGGGTAACGGGAGGACACAAACTAGCGTCCTCCCGTCACCCTAAGCTCAGTAGCTCGCGGTATACTGAGATGCCGCAGCTGAAGCGGATCCAGACAATTATGTCTGGATCCGCCCAGCTGCGTGAGTGACAGCTGGCTCTGCCTATCTGAGGCAGAGCCAGCTGTACCCACTCCCGTCCATTCCGCCAGTCAGCGCTGGAGGATCGGAGCAGGGAGGGACACAGTCCATTGGCTCCCCTTTATATAAAAAAAAATAATCATGAATTCAATACCCCATGAAGCTGATGCTAATGACTAAATTGGTGCCGTCGCTGCTGGCCTTCAACCATTACCAGTTCCTGCCACTGCTGCTAGTCTGCCATCACAACCATCTCCTGTCACTGCTGCTAGCCTGCTAAATAACCATCTCCTGTCACCTCTGCTGGTTATCTATCTATTTCAACAATCACAGGCACTACAAAGGTGCTAATGTTTCTGCAGCTGGGCCTCATTTGCAAACTTTAGAGTGTTTGCTATAGAGAAATCATTGTATCTGTCTCCTAGTTTGTTGTCAATGCCACTGCTCAGGCAATTACAAATATTTGTGCCTATAGTCTCTGAAATAGGGTACTATAATTTTAATTTCTTTATTAACATCTGCCTGATCTCTCCCTGTAAAACTGCAGTAATAATTCTTACATACTGTGCATGGAGTTTGTACAATAATTTGTTGATTGTTTTCACTTAAATAATACACTGTAATGTTGACTTTTATTTTAATAAATGCTGCCTGGTGTCTCCTCTGTCCAAAGCTCAGCCAAGTAAAAGTTTTCAAATACTATGTATGAAGTAAGTAGAATATTTAGCTGGCTATTTCCTGTAAAATAAATATACTCTAATGTTGATTTGTGGGTTAAATGCTGACAGTTTTACCTCCTGTTCAAAATGTGGTCTACTCAAAATGCTATAGAGCAAAATAAAAAATTACGTATACAATACAGTCTGGACTAGATTCCACATAGCAGTTTCTGTTTTTCTAAGCTACCCCCCTATTAACATTACTTGTATATTATGTATATTACCTGTTGACCATGCCAGTAGATTTTTTGTTTTTCCAGTTCCTGTAATAGGGTGACAACAACACTGTTCATTCTGTAATGCAATTGCAAAGGAGCGCAGTTACCCTGTCAGTGTTATATGGTTTGTCTGAAACCCTGTAACTTAAAGTGGAATATGTATGTATATATAATATATATACAGCGTATATACTCTGTTGCATTGACAAAAGACCTGCAATACATTAAATAATGTTTTATTGTTTGTCAGACCATTGTTGCATATCATCTTGTTCTGTAGAAACTGACACATCTGCCATTCAAGTTCTCCATTCACCCATATTGTTGAATGATAATAAAACAGGGAATGAACTGTTCAGAAAAATACATAAAAGAATACTCTGCAGAATGAGCACATTGTAATCTGTCTTCCGTAACTTGGAACACATAAAGTCCAATGCAGAAAAGTAGCAGATCATCGGAAACAGCTCTGAAATATGAATTCTGCCCACTTTTTTATTTCAGACTGGCTGATAATATTATGTGTGCTGCTTATATTTAATTCACTTAATAATTTCAACAAACAATAAAAATATATTTTACATATTATCGGTACTGTCTGTCCATCTTTACAATTTCCCAATCCAGTTGTCTTTGTAATTAGTCTCTAAGAGTTGCATTCTTCGCAATGACAAGAGAGAATATAGCGGTATGTGGCTGTAAGACGAAGGCCTCCAGAACAGCGCAGGCGGATGGCTTTTAACTTGGAAGTCTGAGGCCTGCAGCAATGGCACGTTGAGCGAAAGGGCTGCTTTAAAACAGTGCTGAAGGAGACGAGAGGGTCAGAGCGAGAGGTTTGACTGCAGCGTCCTTCACAACGAGCAAGCAACACCATCTGCAGGAAGAAAAAGAGAGATACTAAAGGCAATTATACTTTTAATTATCAATCTAGAAAGGCACCCCAATCCCCCTCATCCAAAAAGTAAATAGCTATACAAACCTCAGATACAGAGGATGCCCTATTGCAATGCCCTAGCCCAGTGATGGCAAACCTTGGCACTCCAGCTGTTTTGGAACTACAAGTCCCATGAGGCATTGCAAGGCTCTGACAGCCACAGACATAACTCCCAGAGGCAGATGCATGTTGGGATATGTAGCTTTGGCACAGCCGGAGTGCCAAGGTTTGCCACCACTGCCCTAGCCATTTGCTTTTTCATGGGAGTAGCATAGAGGGGTTAATTAGAGTGTATCTAGACTCAAGAAAAAATATTCATCTTACCAGTCCTCAAATGTGGGGGCTGCATACTTTTTCTTTCTTCAGGCTTTCTTTCCCCCTTTATCTACCTGGTGATCTTGCCAGTAGAACACTTCCTGTCCTAGGGTGACAATTCTCCATTATTGTACTGTATACATAAAGGAGCAGCACTCTAGGGTAGGAAGTGCGTTAAGGACTACAGAACACACACCCTTTCCTCTTCTCCACAACATAGGAAGTGCTCTGTATTCCACGGAGGTGAACCAGGCAGGGCTAATAAGACTGCGTGAATTACTGCAGATGCACAGAACACAAATGTTTTTTTCATTTATTTCATGATAATCTCTGCTTCCAGTGTGACAGGGCTCCCCTGCCCAGTCACGTCCATGGCTGACATGTTTCACAGTTACGGGCTTAGTGGTAGAGATCTACAGCTAAGCCCATAACGGTGAAATGCATCTGTGGTGGACAATGACTGTGCGAGGAACCCTGTCACGCTGGAAGCTGTGATTACCACAGAAAAAGTCTGTGGTCCGGGGAAATTGGTGTGCAGCCTTTAATCTTTTCACAATTAGGAGACAGAGACAGGCTGTTGTCACCTAATAACAGGAAGTGCCTAAACAAAGTCCTTAAATGTTATATTTGCTTCAGCATGCTATTTTAACATGTCTCACCCAGTCTCTTTATAGTTTTATGTCAATTTTGTCCCCAATAAATACCTTTGAATAGATGCTAAGCACCACGTTCACATACATTTCCTGTATGCCATTGTCTGCATCTAATTCTGTCTTCCAAATATCTCCCATTGTATCTCCTAAAATCTTTTTTTGTATAATAGTTGTTTAGTGTACATCAGGTGGAATGACAATATTTCTCACACATTCCTGATAATACATGCACAGTCAGAGGTACCCCTGTGTATAAGTTGTCCTTCAATGCCTCATTTTACCAACTAGGAGAATAGTGTCTGGGGCAGCCATGACTTTGTTATAAAGTATAGGGGGCCACACTAGGAGATTCCTATTTTTCTTGAAAATCTCCTTTGGTTACTGTGATCTCACAGAATCTATCATAGCACAATGCTAGACAATCCAACAAGCACTGACTGATCCTACACAGTAATTCAGTTCTGGGTGTCAACTGGCACAGATTTCTGTAGTTTTTAAACCCTGTATTAATGGTTACAAGTTAGAAAATTATTTGTTAGTGTGATTTCCTTTTCTGATCTAACAATTTGCTTTTATAGACATCACAGTTTAGTTGAATTTTTCATTCTTGAAGTTTTTGTCTTGCCAGTTAAAAGTTTTTCCTAAGCAATACTTTTCTGTACTTCTCTCTGGGGTTACCCATTCTCATTTTTTTTCCTGTCAATGTATAGGTATTTTAGCAGTTTGTGTTTGGAAAAAGGGCAGTTCAGGAAGTCCACCCAAAATAAAACTATGAATATATTTATTCAGTGAAACAAGATTTTGGGGCATATTTATTAAGCAGTGACTTTCACTAAGCAGTCACTGGTGGTGAATCAACCACTGGCATTTAAAACACATGCATCAGGAAGATTCATCTGCAGTAAATGTTTGATGGATATCTGATTTACTGCTTTGTAAATATGTCCATTTGTGTAAGATGTTGTGTCATGGGAAAGAGGACAGTCTTGGAATGGCTGCCCCCAAAATAGACACATTTACTAAGGCATAATACAGAGAGCTTCCATATTACCATGAACTGCACTATGAGACTGCCATGTTGCCAGACTACTGCATGTTAGACAGAAAGGTGTCATGTTACCACAATGATTACTGCATATCACCAAATAGGCTTCCATGTTGCCAGATTACTTCATGTTATGAGACTACTACATGTTACCAGACAGCTGCATGTTGCCAGGGAGACTGCCATGTTACCAGACTACTACATGTTACCAGAGAGACTGCCACATTACCAGACTACGACATGTTGCTAGAGAAGACTGACATTTTACCAGAATACTACATGTATCAGAGAGACTACCATGTTACCAGACTACAACATTTACCAGAGATACTGCCATGTTACCAAATTATCTAGAGAATCTAGTATTCTTGCCAGCAGAACTAAGCATGTATGCTAACAGTCATGTTCAGCGGTAGCTGTTAAATTTGTGCTCTGCAAATCAATGGCCAGTGCCACTGCTGTTCACATATAACTGCTCATACATGCAAATAGAGCCTCTAATTGACCCTGGACACAGACATTTTATATCTAGGGGTGGTGTTTCTGCATAGTTTTTGGCCACAGCTAATCATCCAGGTTCTATGCAGCCATAGAACAGTATGAAGCGGCATTTAGCCATATCTGAACACAGAAAACTGTCTATCCAAGATCGCCCAACTGAATGAGACCTTACCAGACTACATGTTACCAGAACATTGGAAAGGTGCTTCAACAGACGGATCCAAGAGGGGAATTCTCCACCTAATGAAAACTCCCATCTAGTGCTGATTTCAGAAATATTTCCTTTTAAACAAAGTGTGGGAACTGGAGCATGACGAATCACTCAGAATATTTCACTTGAGTAAATAGATTTTTATTCTAGAGCGTGTGCTCACATAATTTATTATATGGCTATGCCAAAGTCATAATATAACATTAGTTAGATGGCACCACTGTTAACACAATTGGGCCAGGGAGCTAAAGAAATGTACAGCTCCAAATGGCAGTGAAGAAACAATTGCTGCTCTATGTAAAGTCAAAGGCGACCGATGGTTTTGCTAGTTATCTAGTCTCTTTTTGTCTATATGCCACATACAATAATATTCAACACTGTGATCTTTGTAAAAAATATGTGGCTGAGTGTCTTAGAGGTCTATTAAAAGTTTACCTTTCTGACGATGTTTCATGTTGCACCCATATTTAAGGTGTAATATGAAACATGGCCAGATTGCAATCCATCCACACAGCCTGTCGTAGGATCTGTGAATGGAGGAACAACAAGTTCCATCAACCCTCATGGGAAAGAGACTTCTCAAATCATTATGATAAAACACGTTGGGAGGAGCCAGCTGACATCACCTCTGCTGAGACATACTGAGGACTGGATGTGTGTTCTTGCTGTAGATCTTTGAGCTGATGAGTTTGTGCCCTATTTTACCCTATGATTACCTATGATTGATCCTATGATTGTTGTCTTGTACATGATGGGTTATTAAATGTACACTATCCCATCTAAGGAAAGTTGCTTTTTGCTTAATGGAATAACCGAATAAAAGGAGAAACATTTTAAGAAAAAGGTGTATTGACCTGTATATGTCTATAGAAGGCCAGACTAGTTCTGGTGAGTTTACCAAGAGAAGGGAACTCTGTGAAGGAAATAAGCAAAGCACTGGCTGAAATGTTGGTAGTGTGATTGATGGGAAGAATTCACAAGTGTGTCGATGCAAGTTTATGAACTATAATTGATTAGAGAACTGCAGTGAAATACTGTAAGGGTACTATATATATACCACCTGTCCAAAAAGAAAGTCACACACTCTAATATTTCATTGGACCACCTTTGGCTTTGATCACGGCATGCATTCACCGTGGCATCTTTTGATAAGCTTATGCAATGTCACAGCATTTATTTCTGTCCAGAGTTGCATCACTTTTTCACCAAGATCTTGTAGTGATGAAGGGAGAGTCAGACCACTACATAAAGTCTTCTCCAGCACTTCCCAAAGATTCTCAATGGGGTTAAGGTGTGGGCTCTGTGAAAATTATGTCTCACGTTCACTGAACCACTCTTTCACAATTTGAGCCCAATGAATTCTGGCATTGCCATCTTGGAATATGCCCGTGCCATCAGGGAAGAAAAAATCCATTGATGGAAAGACCTGGTCATTCAGTATATTGAGGTAGGCAGCTGAACTCATTTTTTGGGCACATAACGTTCATGAACCTCGACATACAGTATTATCTATAGGAAGGCTATTTGCTTAGCTAAATCCAGATGGTGACTTTATTTTGGACAAGCAGTGTATATTGGCACTCACTGACATTGTCACAATTTTTATTTATAACATTTTCATATAGTGGAAGTCTTTTTAGATTGTTGTGTTTTTTTAAAATAAATGAGCATTATTTTTCTCTCTATGTTGCTGTGTTGCTGTTGAAGAGTTCTCATCACTTCCTGTCTGGCAAAACATTCTCAGCTGAAGAGGAAGTGAGCAGACATCTCACTGGCAGAGCCTCAGATAACAGCAAAAACCTTATAGGAATTATATTCCTTATTCATATAAACACAAAACAAATAAAAAAGCAAATGGCTTTTATTGTAAAACCTATCTGCTTTTATTAAATCCACATAGTACTATTGACAGTTTTTTTTTAAACAATAAGTGTTAAACTCAACTCTTCTAACCAATGGATGTTCTATTTCTGTCAGGGGAAGATAATCTTCCAGGAAACAATTTTCATAAAAAAGGGCTTGTCGTATGGAAAACCATGCTCCACCTTTACATATCTTATTAATGGTGGAAAATAGATAAGAATTTCAAACAGCACAACAAAGGCCAAATCAAATTAAATCACATGAAGCAGATTTCTTGACCCTGCCTATGTTTTGGTTTATAGAGGTTTAGTAATGATAACAGATAATCTATCCGCTTAAACTTCTTGTGGGA